GCACTGAAGAATAAATTTAACACTCACATATCAGATTGGTGAATTAACACTCATATGGATGTTAAGATCTCCAGTCCCTTTTATTATTTGTCCTCGAAATTTTTAAAGTATTTTTCGTTTTCATTTCAGAAAACAGGTACCAATTTTGGCGGTACCTGTCTGTCTTATAAGAAGAAAATGGGTAACTACCGACACCAAGGTTTGAGCGTGACACTCTGGACTTATGAACATATGTTTTCTGCCAGGTGTAGAAATAGCGATGTCAGGCTACTGACTGCTGTGATTATTGAGTGGAACTATTCAGTCGAATTAGTGTGAATTATTGTGCGTCGAGTATTTGGGTTTTCTTTTAGAATTTACCGGGTGCTAAGCCGAGCCGCGCTATTAACAAAGTATTCACTGAAATGGTTAGCTTTTACTTTTTTGATCTTGTTAAACATTTCTTTGAGGTCGTAATTAAATAATCTTCTTTCTTAACATTGAAATCTTGAGTTATACTTAAGTACTAGCAGCGTGGTCTTGCGTTGCCCGTGCTTGATTAAAAAATCGTACGACTCATACAGCAATCGCTATCACTTGATTTAAAATATTTTTGCACTTCCTTGCCTTTAAAGGAGTTCCCTCTGCCGTGCTGATGTTGCTACATACCTTTTTTTTTTCTAAGCTCTATACTAAGCATTAAATGTGTTAGGAAAAAAGAACTAAAGAAAATGAACACAAAACGATCAAAAAAGGACTCGTAACTGGAAAAACCGAATGAAAAAGAATGTTAACAACAAATACTTTTTCACACCCAACCCAATTCTGCGGAATCAGAATCAACGTTGAGTTTAAGCAAGCGAATGAGCCAATTGGAGTAAAGTGCCATTCAGATTTAAATTTTTCCCACTTTCAGCTATCGATTTTTTTGCATGCTAGCATGCTAGTTATCATTCGTGTCAGTCAGCTGTTGGCTCTCAAGCTGGCCAATAGAATCTTCCTGCCTATTCGTGGCAGCCAGCTATTGGCTCTCATTCTGGCCAGTACAAAATGGCTGCAAACTACATGCCGTAGACTACATAAAAAAATCGATTATTTCCACTATCGATGGGAGTTGGGAAATCTAATGTCGGTCTTGGCTTTCTTGCTAACTTGGAGCATGTGCATGTAAATTTTGGTGCAAATCAGTCAAAAATTGCGGACGTGCATTCGTTACACACACACACATCCTGCCTTTTATAGATAGAGATTAACGGCCACTGTACGTCACAAAACATGTAATGTTTTATATGAAGTAAATGTCACGAGGTTTCCTTGTATTGGATCAACATTACCATTGAAAGTGCAAAGCTTTATACTCTCAGATTTTGATTAAATCTATTGACTAATATGAAAAAAAGAATCGAAAGCAGATAGGTATGCGTTTGATAAAACGGTTTCACTTTCAGGGTATTTGTAGCACTGAAGAGTGAACTTAACACTCACATGACATATTGGTGAATTTATATCTCATATGGTTGTTAATATCTCTTATTATGTGTCCTCGAAATACAAACTCTCTCGTTCTGATTGTAAGTATATAGTTCCTTGTACTTGCTATTTGCTTTAAAACTTGCTCCCATAATCTTTCCATCGTATTTTCAGCATTGGTCGTGAAAACCACAACTATGTCGGCCTAAGTCTCTTATTCAACTGCGAAGAGATTGTTCAGCATCAAATGCTATGTAATTGCATTAACTTCAAGCACTATTTTCCTTATTTCTAACGAACATCTTCCATCTCTTAATACTTAGCTTAGTTTCTGGAAGGCATTTTCGCTACTCTGATGCGCATTCATATTTCTGCGTTACACTTTCCATTGTCTATTGCTATACTCGACGTCGTCGTTTTTTTATCTCGTATCCCAAAATTTAATTTCTTCTTTTCTCATTGCTTCCTTTAGAATGATCATATTACCGACTAAGTAGACGACTTCTTGCATGGAATAGCCGATGGCATTGACTGCATTGTAAAGTTAATGGAGGACGAGGACGATTTTGTCGAATCTTTTCCATTTGTCGTTTAGGTTCTTGCTTTTCTCTTTTGGTGGCTTCTGAGTTGTTGGTTCTGATGGTGAGGAAACATCGCCAGTTGGTAGGGTGTTGTGCTTGGGTTTCAAACGATTTAGACTCAAGTTCATGTATCTTTGAAGAGGGAAACCGCGTGGATTTTTTCCCCCCGGAAGTGAGTTCACTCAATAAAACTTGAACTCTTCCATTCTTGCTACCTGACCACCGAAGATAGTGTTTACTGATCGACGATTCGATGCTTTGACCTTGGCGCTTTCCAGGACCTTTGTGTTGGTCACATAATAATCCCATTGGATGTTTAAGATTGAGCGAATCTTTTGCTAATGAAAACGTTCTAATTTTTGGATGTCGCTACAATATAGAATTCATGTTTCGCAACCATATAGTAAATTTGAAATGAAAACAGCATTATAGACTATTATTTTTGCTGCACTACAGAGATATTTAATGCTTACAACCATATCACGTTGAAACACCGATTCCTGTACAATCATCGAAGTTAAGCAAAGTTGAGTCTGGTCAGTACTTAGATGAGTGACCGCTTGCGTATACCAGGTGCTGTAAACTCGGATGTGCGGATGGTGTAATGGATAATGTTAATCGGAGAGCCGGGTTCCAATTTCAGTTGGGTTCTTTGCACTTGGGAAAAGCATCAATTCAGATCTTCTCCCCACATGCTATTAGATAATTAGTAAAACTTGTATCGCTAAAAACATTATTATCTACTAACCAACCAGCACCCAACATTCTTACAATTTCAAGATATTTTCTTGGTTTAAATAACCTGCAAATGGTTGATGAACTGTAGAAATCGAATCAATAAATCAATCAGCAGATAGTTCAATTTCTGTATCTGTTTGATTGTCACCCCAATCGTGGGCTGTTTCCTTTGTTGGTGCACGTTTTCTTACAGTAGATATTAAGCCATATCTTCTTGATGCCTCGTCTAAGGGTTCTTTCTGCTTGCCTTTCGAGTTTTCCATCAACACAGTGTCATCAGCGCATTTTTGATTGCTTAATTAGTAATCTGAGGATCGTATCCGTGTAAAAATTTGAACAATTTCTGGTAAGGCAATAAAGCCACTAAGACAAAATGAGTTCCTGAGTGCGAAAGAATATGACAAAAAGAAAAACATTATCAATTAGAGAGAACAATAAAAGAACAGGAATTATTTCATTTAAATTTGTGAAGATCAATGTCTGTTGGAAAGCCTGAATCCGGAAGAAAGGTCGACAAGAGAGAAGTCCTAGAAAAGAAATTGTTAGCATAGAACTTACGGTTAGATCTAGATATTTCAACTGTAAAAATGATGGGACCTAGCCGCCAATCTAGTACTCCGCTTAAATTCATAAATTCGAGATAGTAAAGAGTAAAGCTCATCAGAACCATTACCATGAAAATATTCATAGAAAAACACAAAGAATCTACGTTACGGTGGTTGGGAAGTTATTGAAACTGAGATGCCATGTCAGGGCGGATATTATTGCAGATTCTTCTCGAAATATATTGCAGAAGTACCGGACCGGATAAAACAGCAATATTCAATGCATGGACAAATGGTCGACTAATAAATGTGTAAGACAGATTCTGGTGAGAAAAATTATCTAGTCTGAACAACAAACTTGCAGCAGACCTAGCAATTCATTAAATAGAATCTTTCCATTTCATGTCAAGAGAAAACTTTAGCCCGAGAAAGATCAATGTATCACTCTCCTTATCATCAGCCATGGATACACGATTAATCAGATACAATTCCCCATTTAAATTAAGGTTCCCTTGTACTTTAAGAAATAAATATCAATATGGGTCTTTCTCCATTTGAATTGCTCACCCTCATGTCATCTAAAACTGTGGTCGCCAACCACAGACCAATAGATTTCCGTGCAACATATTTGATGATGCGCAGAAATATTGGAACATTATTTCAATTTTATGGAGCTTAAGATTAAAAAATGATGAGTAACAAAACGTATTATGGATGGTATATATATATATATATATATATATATATATATATATATATATATATATATATTCAAGGCCTAAATGTAATATCGAAATAAACACGAATACACAAGTACACAAATGTGATATCATCCAGCCATAGCATAACTTAACGACTAGCAAAGTCATGTTCAATACTTGTTACTAAATAGTTTCTTACCATTACTATTGTTAGTTTCTTAACGTTACTGTTGATAGCTAGTTACTCGATGGTTTACTAGTATACTTTTTGTACAAACATGGCATAGCAACGGAGTAATGGGGGGATCTTCAATAATCGGCTGATGCACCAAATACAAATTTATAAGCATTCGTAGTCGAAAAATATTTTTGCAAAATATTTAAAGAAAAAAAAACAACTTTTTAGTGGACGTTGAAAACGTCAAATCGCCATACGGATGAAATTTTCGCATGACATTGTAGTAGACTCAATGTTAATGAATGAAAACGCTATCTTTTTATTTTTTACTGGGGCCTAACACGACAAAATGAATAAAAAAATTGAATAAACTTCAAATTTTCAATTTGTTTTATTTAAATAATTACACTTTGTTATTTTTAATGGGTGTATTTCATATTAATAAAATAAAAGTTTTCTGATTATTATTATTATCAATACATTTACCTTTTTTTTCCAAATTCATATTAGTGATCCGCCAAATTTAAAATTATACATTTAGTGGTCCATGAAATTCAAAAAGTTGGCGAGCGCTGAAAGCGTGTTCTAAAAAATGCACACCATTCTTGCTTAATTTCCATCCAGAGCTACATCCTATTTTTAACAGAAAATGTGACGCCTAAATTCGAAGATACATTGAAATAGCAAAATATGCCTTCCAAAAGCTAAGCAATGTATTAAGAAGCAGGAAAATATCGATAAAAATAAAGGAAAAACTGCTGGATTGTTTTATAGTATCAGTTCTCGTCCATTACAGAGAATGTTAGACAATCCCATTATAGAGGAAGATGAGACTTGAGACAGCAGAAATGTCGTTCTACAGAAGGATGATGTCATTACCATGGACTGAACATGTGAGTAACGAGGAAGTTTTAACGACAATAGGAACACAAAAAAGAACGCTGATATATATAATTAGAAAGAGACAATTGAAATTTCTACGAAGCATCAGGTGGAAAGAGGGTTTGAGAAATTTAACACTCACAGGATATATTGAAGTCAAGAGAGACAAAGGGTAACAGCTAGTCACTAACATAACAAGCATGTGTTGTTATGAAAAAAGAAGCCAATCCTTAATAACATTAATTATGAACATGGCCACAATGTACTGGCCGTATTTGGAAATTGGGATTATATCTACTTTGAGAAATGTTTAAAACGTTTAAAACGCCATTAATATAACAAAATAAATCTTTGAAAATGGTCACTCGGAACAAACAAACGTATACAAGAAAAACAAGAAAATCTAAGCAAAATTACCTTCTCAGTCTTGTTCAACGAAACATGTATAAAAGAGGGATTGCTACCCCAAAACACAACTATATACATATATATGTGTGTGTATGTGAATGAGTGTGCGGAAAGTAGGATTCGCGTGTCCTGTTCAAAATTCACTTGATGTCATTGCATTTGATTTCACACTATTACCCTTGGTAATGTATGGTTATGGCTCTTCTGCTCACCTGCAGGTAATGGTTGATAGCAGGACAGACTTGGCTCTCTAGATTTGATAGGCAATCTGTCTAGGAGAAAGGCGACTCTCAGTGGGAAACCAGTTAGGCCTGGGGCTAGCAACTCCACCCCGTAAGAACCTACTTGCTACAGAACCCATAAAAGCAACAGCTTTGTCCCTATATTACACATGAATGTCTGCAAAGTAAAAAGACACAGACATGGGTGTGTCTGTCTTTGTGTGTATCTGGCTGTGTGTCTGATTTCTTAATTATACGCTTTACTGCACATTTGCAGTTTGGATGTCTAGATTGTCCGTATAATGTTTATCTTGAGTAATTGCACACACGCACTTCCTTCTAGATTTCAATGTGCACACACTGCACATAGAAAGTGTGTACGTCTTTACCTGTATGAAGTCTTTTGTTCCTTTTGAGCGGGACACAATAGCACGGCGAGTGTTCGACTTTCTGAGATTCCAATTGCCACGTCATGGATATTTGCCTTCAAAGACAGCATAAGAGACTGACAAGCAGAGAAACACAAAAGACAGACGTGAGTGGGTGGAGTTCGTCTCGGCTGGGCGCTGGCGAAATCTCCAAAGATCCACTGTTAATGTATAATATATAAACGTATTATATAGACGATTTTTTTATTGATTGGGAGTACCGTGGCAATTATGTTGAATGTTACGTACACATAAAGCTGAAGAGAAATCAACATAAGGCAAAATTGAACGTTTCCATGTACATAGATTTACACACTGCCACAAATACACCGACTTAAAGAATCTCTCTATATTTCTGAGATGTGTCATTATGTACATTATTTACATTATTCGGACTATTATCATCCTCATTGTCACCATATTTATTACAAGGTTTCGGCCGTTGTACGCTCCGGACTTCTTCAGGTGGTTGGAATGTCGAACCCTTTATTTCGCTCACTTGGGTAGACTGTTCAAGTTTCACGTGCCATGTTTAATGGATGTCAGTTATCAGTTATCTCCTGTTAATTCCAAATTCTCCACTGCCTTAACAGGGTATTGAACTTACGCTCTTTGGGTCCTGTCACTGGATCAAACCAACGCCTTTATCCACTGTGCCATGTGTCCTTGAGGTATGAATTTCTGGATATTATAAACCTAATGTCTTCAGTAACCATTTTTACCAGTGCTCATATTACAATATTTTGCTGTTATCATTTCATGTTTTTACCAGAGTTCCTATTGAAACTTTTTGTTGTTATTATCGCTTTTCTCTGGCACTGCTTATTACTGGTTCCCATATTGTATGCATTTCTATGTTTGGTCGGCTCAGGAGATTTTTGTGGCCTAGCATATGTGATGATTCCTTAAGTTTACGAATTTTCCAATGGTGTTCCTTGTCTATGATCTCAACCTGATCGCTTGTGTTACAGCTTTTTGGCTTTCTTGAAGCCTTAACTTAAGGGGGCGGCCTGTCCTCCCTTTATATTTCTCTCCGCGGCAAAATCCGAATAATTCCGTTATTTAATTTTTTTTTTCGTATTTTTCCCAATGAAACATAACCCAGTGCACATGTTAGTACTTTGTATGTGCATTCCACAAGATTGTTTCTTGCAGATTGACCACAGATTCTCGATTGGGTTTTAATCAGGAGTGATTCCAGGCCAGTCTATAGTACTTTGATTTGCTCACTGGTATGAGTACTGCTCCTAGTTAGCCTAAAAGCATTGGCAACCAAAATTTTACACATGTAAATGACGAGTATAAGGAAATGGAATAAATTTCAACAAGGTGATATTTTCATGTATTTGTTTTGATATAACTAAGTACACCCTTGTGCAAATTAATTATACAGGGAGATGTGGAGGGCTATGCTCACTTCACCCTTGTGCAAATTAATTAAAACAAAACGAATAATTCCGTTTACATTTCTTCGGTTTTTT